TTCATGGTGGATATTTGTTCTCTTAACGGATCCAACACTTCTGGTGTCACTGAGCAGAGGCCACCTCCAAGTGGTGACGTGCCCTGAGCTGCCAGGATGACTCATCTGCTACCAAATCCAGACACAGCCAGAAAGATAAACAAGCACCGCATCATCATTCCAGGGTTGACATGTTATTTTCAATATTTAGGATAGCTCTGCCTTAGATAATTCAAAAATACATATAAAATCACTATACATGTGGTACAAACTTCTTTGGAAATTATAGGAAAATATGATTTTTTTTCTGTGATCTTAAAACTTGGTGGAGAACTTCAGGACTCTTTGGGAATTTTCTTTCTTTCTTTCCTTTGTGGGGGTCATTTTTCTCTAGACATTTCTTTCAAATTCTGTATGTTGTCTGTTGGGAGTTGGGAATTTTGAGTCACTCGTTTTCTTGGGGTTTATGCTTGGTTTGTCAATACCTAGCCCAAAAAGAAACTGAAAATCACTAATTCGTTTGGGGTTTCCCTGACTCTACATTGATGTGGCGTGTCCTTCCATATGCTGCGAGTATGTGTCGCTTTTAATGGTTGGTGAATAAAGCTATCTCAGCCAATGGGCAGGCAGAATATAGACAGGTGGGAAATCTGAACAAAGAGACAGAGAGAAGGAAGACAGAGTCCAGGAGACACCATGCAGCCAGCTGGGCGGGGAAGCACGATGCCAGGACGTCACTGGTGATATACAGATTAATAGAAATGGATAATTTATAAGAGAGAGCTAGCCAGTAAGAAGCCTACGCCATTGGTCAATCAATTGTAACTGATATAGAGCCTCAGAATGTCATTTCATAAGCGGCGGTGGGGTCCCAGTGGGAGGAGAGAACCCGGTCCAGTGGGACAGAGGAAACTCTCCTGCCTACCCTAGACACACCCCTGAGAAGTTGGGCCAAAGTGCTGGGCTCAGTCTTTTGAGACCATCTAATGATAAGTCACAGCCATGAGGCTACATTGGACAAAACACAAAAAGCCACATGGTTTCCCTGCCCTGGTAGATGGCAGCAATACTGCCTACATCCGTATCAGAGGCCTCCCTGAGTCCCCTACGCTCCCCGTGTGTCAGCGCCCACCTGGTGCCCCCCAAGTGCATACAGTCATGGTGGGAATGGACAAAGGGCTCCCTAGCTGGGGTTGCCCTGGCAAGGGGCTTTGCAGGAACAGTCAGTTCTGTGGCAGGAACTTTGGTCTCAAACCCACACTAAAACACAGACTCACACACACTGACTCCCTACACTTCAGCCATTTTTAAAAGTCGCCCTCGAACAACCAGCTTCATTAAAAAAAAGAGAAACACAGCTGCGATGCTGGATTTTGGATTCAAGGCCAGGAATGATAAAAGGGAAAGGGGGAAACAGCACGTCTCTAAAGACAGTGTCAGGCGGGTGGGTGCTGAGCAGAAAGACTGGAGACTCGTCAGAGGTGAGGCAGAGGAACGCAGGCTCTGAATTCTAATCTGGAAACGAATTTTGTCATTCAGAGGGGGCTGTCACCAGCCAGCAAGCCTCAAAGCCAGGAAGCGGTGGACGTCTGCCTGGTACTTCCAGGGCGTGCCCAGGTGCAAGGCTGTCAGTACACTGAGATCTCTGCCTTTGAAATGTCCCATCATTTCATCGGTGTATCAAAGCAGCTGGCACAAACCAGATTGTTACACAAATGGCTAAGGATCAAATCCAACACACTCACATGTCCAGATGCTAGGCAGGCAGCTGACCAGCCTGTCCCTCCTATGGGCGCCAATGCAGTTATTTTCATACTTTACCCAACGACGACCTTCGTTTCTCCAGATGCAGAGCTGCATCCTTGGCCTCTATTGCCCCATGACAGCAATCAGAGTGGCATGCTCCCATGAGTTCATTCCTGTCTGACAGCACTGCGCTCTCCCTACTCAGGGTCTGTAGACCCAGTAGATAAACCAGCAGTCCTCTCTGTAGAACAGAGCTGTGTGTTCACGGCAAAGCCATGATAGGAAGAAGGGGGGCAGCATGGCCCTCCACAGGCAGCAGGTCCCAGCCCTCTGTGCTCTGCCCAGAGAGAACACCCCTCCAAGGGATCTTTACCTCCATTGTTTCTTTTTACCATAGCCAAAGAAACAGACAGTAAAATCACAGTGGTGAGGAAATTGTATCAAGCCACTTGCAGGTCTTAGAAAATAGACAAACAATGTAACAACTATCATTACATCAGCCACCTTGACTGACGGTACTGGAGAAGTGTCTCAATACTTCTTGTCCAAGTTCTGGTACACAAATGTCACAGCGGCTCAGTCTTGGCAACGCGTGTAGCCCCAGGCACTGTAGACCTCACCTTGTACTACAGTCTTTTAAAATAAAGCAGCCTTATTTAAAAAATATCTATAGAGGAAGAGTTAGGAAGAAGGAAAGGACATAGGAGGACCAGCACAGTAAGGCCAGAATCAGACCTTTTAAGTGACCCTCGTAGGCCACCTTCTGTCCAGGCTGTTCTGAGTAAGGACTGACAGAGCGTCCCCACACACCCCAGAGCCTCAACATGCCAACAAGTCTCTCTTCCTCAAAACTCCATCCTGAGCGGGATCTGTTTTTAGTCTGAACACCAGGGTCTCCTGGCAGCTATAACCAGGACATTTCTGGAAACATGGCCAGGCCCATTTGAGGCTAATGGGAACAGAGACTTGCCAAGCTCCAGGCTCTCTGGTGCCTGGGATGTCATCTGGAAGCAGGGTCCTGACTGAAACAGCAGAGTTCCTGGACAGTCTCCAATTCTGGCCACTGTCCTATGGACAACACCTCATAAGGAACCATTAATGGGGAGCTGCAGAGATGTCTCAGGGGTTAAGAGAACTGCCTGTGGTTCCAGAGGTCCTGAGTTCAATTCCCAGCAACCACACGGTGGCTCACAACCATCTGTAATGAGATCTGGTGCCCTCTTCTGGTGTGTGTACACATAATAAATAAAGAAATCTTTAAAAACAACAACAAAAAACCGCCCACATGGAGGGATGCTTTCACATCCTGGACACATGGGGGAGGGCCTAGGCCCTGCTCTGGATGAAATGACAGACTCTGGAGATCCCCCATGGAGGGCCTCACCCTCCCTGGGGAATAGTGTGGGGACTGGGTGGGCGGCTGAGGGGCTGGTAGAGGGACAAGGGAGGAGGGGAGGGAGAGGGAGCTGGGATTGACATGTGAAGCAAGCTTGTTTCTAATTTAATTTTAAAAATTATATTTAAAAAAGAAGCCAATCCAAAAACAAAAGCCATTGCTTTCTGCAGAAATTACTCACCAGGGATGCTCCCCACCTCACCATGCTCCTAAGTCCGCTCTTACCCCTAATAAACACATCTAATTTGATTTCCTTGGTCTATCATCCCCTCCTATCTGCCCCCCACCCGACCTAGATAGAAACTTACTACACAGACCTGACAGCCTGATATTTGTTATGTAGACAATGACATCCTCAAGTACACAGGAATCTTTCTCTCTTCCCTGTGCCCTAGGGTTACAAGTGAGAAGCCCTGAACTCATTTCTACAGACAAGAACAACGGAGCCACTCAACATTGAAGCCTCCTCTCTTCACAGCATGACGAGGCTAAGAGCGGACTGTGAGAATAATCACAATAACCGAGCCGGTTCCACGAGGAACAGCTCCTCGCACCCCTGTGCAGACAGGCACAAGGCAAGTTTTGCTAAGCCCTACCAGCGGCAGCCTGGCTGCCTCCCCCTAAGGAGTGGAAGAGAGAGACTCCCAGGCCCTGATGCGCAAGTCCTCCGCCCACCTCCGCACTAAACACCGTCTCCGGGGTTCATTTGAGCCAGGATGCCCTTCAGAACTGCGCTCTGACATATCCGCCTTACCTCAGACAAATACAAGTGAGGCACCCACACATGGTACAGCCGGCACCAGGCATCTCAAACTAGGTGATGCCACCAACACGAGTCTTACGCCAGACAAGCAAGCCCAGCTCCGTGAGAGAATCATGTCATATGTGAGACTCTCTTACCAGACCCATTCCCAGAGTCAGGCTGTCAGGCAAAGCTCTTGGAGGCTGTGAGGAGCCAGCTGTATCTTGTGTCGGGCGACATGCAGTAGGTGGGTGTCAGGGACCCTCCTCTGTCCTCAGGGACCTCCTTCATCTTCACCCTCCTATCACTTTCTGTGCACAGAGAGCAAGCCTGATGCCTAGCGGATGGGCTACCTGGACTCTTGACTCTTGAGCACGGCAGTATTTTTAACCTTCCTTACTCTTTTCCTTTCCATGATGATATTATTGTTATTATCGTTGTTGTTGTTGTTATTATCATTATCATCATTATTTTTTCTTTTTGTTCTAAGAAAGCTGCCAATCACTCCAGAAAGATCGGGAGTGTTTTTGTTTAACATCTACTACATTAATATAAGTTAACATCACCCAGCCAAAATCTGCCATCTGGCTGGGTTCCAGCACCCTCCTCCCACACGGTAAGGACTACTTGTGTCATGGGAACCTAACATGGAGAGCCAACATAGAGACATCTTAGAAACCGTTTTATCTGCAATGCTATTGAAAACAAACAGCCAATTTAAAAAAATGAGAAGACCATCTCCATCTGAGGATGGCTGTCTTAGGACTCGCTCCCAAACACTGACTTTCCCAGCAACAGAGTCAAGAGCCGGCAGGCACCAGCAGTGCACAGATGTCTTAACCGGGTGTTGCCCACGCGGTAACGTTTTCCTGATGACCCATAGATTCTGAACAAAAGGCCCTACGCTAAGGTATATTAGCCTGGCGCTGCCCAGGTTTTGCACGCAAGGCAGACCCCTACTGTCCAAAGACTTTATTGCACAACTTACTGGGCTTGCATTTCCACAGGAATGTCAGAAGTTTTCCACCATTTTATACTTTTGGTCTTTCAGAGAGCACATCACGGTTTGCTTCATTAGAAGCCAGGCAGAGCGGAACAGCCAAAGACATCGAGGGAGCCTTCACGCTGGTCACTTACCTCCGTGGACGATGACGAGGCTGGCTGTGTCTCAGCTGACGGGGTCGTGTCACCTCTGCCCTGGGGAAGCAGAGCGGAGAAGGAATAAGTAAGTCTGTCTGTCCACAGCACACGCCCGCTGCAGACCTCACTACCCATGGGTGCCCACCAAGACTGCCCGCCTCTTGCTTCTGAACATAAGCCTCCACATGGCCTCAGGTGCCTGGGGCAGCTTCTTCTGCTGGCAAGGAGCTCTTAGAGGAGACTCAAAGAGGGGAACTTGCAGCTTTTGTGCAACTTTAAAATTCTGCCAGAGGAAGTGATGGTGTTCCTATCCCGAGCCTCAAAACTCAACTGACAAAAGTCACTGCCTTAAGCTGTAGCTCGGCTGTCCTGCAGCAGCTGGAACCCACAAACCCAACTATAACATGTAGAACACATAAAATCCCAGCCGCACTTAACCACTGATGCCTAAACCCAAGCTCTGCTCCGCCAGGAGCCTGACCTTCCAAACCCATTTTGGCTGCAATGATTTAGAACAAATTTGCAGATTCACTTAACCATTTGCCCTTAGGGACTTGAGGACAGAGGCCATGTCTGTTCCCATCTCTGCGCATCTGGGGAACACACTTTTCAGGCCTCTGGGATGGCTCAGAGTGTAAAGACACTAGCTACCAAGCCTGATACCTGAATTCAATCCCAGGGACCCACATGGGAGATGTAGAGAACTGACTTACTCGTTCCTTGAGCTGTCCTCTGATCTCTACATATGTACCATAGCAAATGCATGTACTCTCTCTCTCTCTCTCTCTCTCTCTCTCTCTCTCTCTCTCTCTCTCTCTCTCTCTCACTCTCACTCTCTCTCTCTCTCTCTCCTCTCAACTTTTCTTAAGTTTCTTCTGTCTTAGTGGCTTATGTAACTCTGAGTCCTTGTTGTAATTTTTGGCATTGGCTTGGTCAATCAAGCCTCATTGTGGTGGATATTCTGGGTGCCAAACTGGGGTTTTGAATGTTCACGTTAGTTTCAATACTCCGAAGTAATGCCCCACTCTCCAATTTCTAATTGCTTTTTTCTTAAGAACTTTTGTTTGTTTAAAGTATAGCTATATCATTTCCCCTTTTCTCCACCCCGTACCTCTTCACATGCACCATGGCACACAAATGTGAGTAACACACACAATAACTAAACATCATTTTGAAACAGAGAATGCTTATCTTCTGTTTGATCCAGGCTTTCCCCTGGCATGCTGTCCTCTATTCTCACCCTCTTTCCCTTGGCTCACATTCGCTAATGAATAAGAGATGAGGAGAAGCCAAAAGTCAGGTCCATGCCTTTGCCTCTCAATAGTGACTGTGGTCCAGCTTTTGTGGAGAGCCAGAATCAGCATCTGCGCGAATGAGGTCAGGGGGCTTCTCGGTGCCGGTGCAGCGCTGACGGCCCTGGGTTGCCGTTAAGTTACCGTAATGCAAACTTTTTGGGGTGTGGGGTGAGCCCTGCACCTATTGGTCCTGACTCTTAGCTCAGCACATGTTTCCATAGGACCAACAGGAGGCTGGGAATCTCATGCTGGGAACCTCGGAATCGCCTGGGAACTGTAAGACCTCCCAGCCCAGGTAATAAGACCCTCTGGGGGGCAGATCAGCCTCAGATGCCTTCGTGGGAGTGCGTGTGAGAGTCACTGCCTGGCATGTCCCCAGCTAGGCGGTGATAGTTGAACAGTATGGACGCAGTCTCTAAAGCTCACTCCCTTGCTAGGCCTGCAGCTTTTACACCAGTTCCCCGGTACTGGCAAGCACAGGGGACTACCTCAGGGCCGATCCAGCAGCTTCCCTCTGTGTGTGGCAAATGATGTCTTTCTTTCTTTCTTTCTTTCTTTCTTTCTTTCTTTCTTTCTTTCTTTCTTTCTTTCTTTCTTTGTGTTTTTACGAGACAGGGTTTCTCTGTATTGTTTTGGAGGCTGTCGGTCCAGCCCAAAATGGTGTCTTTCTTTCTGTGGGGCGTGAATTCCACCTGACACAGATACACACGGCTTTCTCTATCACCGTCCCTTCCTCCCAGGAACCATGCAGCCCAGGCCTGGTCACATCTCTGCCACCTTTGCTGAGGACCCAAGTGTGGGCATGAGAGACGGTGAGAAACCCAGACCCCACTGACACTTCGGGATGCTTGCTTCACATCCAATAGAAGCCATTATGGGGACACATGGGGGAGGGCCTAGGCCCTGCCCTGGATGAAATGACAGACTCTGGAGATCCACCCCCACCCAAGGAGGGTCTCACCCTCCCTGGGGAAAGATGTGGGGATTGGGCTGGGGGCAGGAGGCTGGGGGAGGGCCTGGGAGGGAGAAAGGCGAGGAGCTGGGATTGACATTTGAAGCACGCATGTTTCTAGTTTAAATAAAAAAGAAAGAAACCATTGTGGTTCAGTTACAGACTGTGACAAATCGCTGCCAAGCTTGACTTAGCTCCTGTTGACTTTAACGCACAGGGAAACCTAGCGATCATACGATACACACTGACCGGCGGACGCCTCGTCACAGGGGGCATTGCCACGACACTGTCTTCACACCTCAACATTATCCGTGACCAGCCTGCCAAGCAACAGCCTCACCCCGGCTGTGACCCATACCCACTTTCTCATTTAGAACCTGGGATCCCCTGCCTCCCACAACGCCCGCAACCGCACCACCCTTTCCAACGCTTCTCCTAACGGGCCCTCTGCCATTCTCTCCACTGGCCAATGAGCCCACACGCTCCTATTTCCAGAGCCAGGCCCGGAAGTGAGTGGAGAAGGCAGGTCCCACCTCCCCTGTGGAGTCCGTGTGGCGGGGCAGGTGGGAAGGAGACAGGAAGGGGAGTGGGAACAGTCTCAGAGATGCCTTGCGACAGGCATGGGCAGCACATGTGCGGCTCTCTCAGGTGGCCTGGGGTTTCTTGTCTGGAGACCACGCTATCTGCTATCCTCCAGATTCTTCCAGATTGACTCCTTAAGCGAAGCCGGAGGCGAAGAGGCCCCCTGCTCACTCGATGACGGAGTGACCTTGTGTACGCCTCTGCACAGCCACACTGGAGAGCAGCAGGCAGACCCAATGCGTGTGCTATTTTCTAAAAAAGCTATAAATTAGTTTCTCTGTGTTTTTTTATTAGTGTGTTTGGAGCGTGCCTGCGTGCATGCGTGTGTGTGTGTGTGTGTGTGTGTGTGTGTGTGTGTGTGTGTGTGTGTGCTTGCCACCGAACCTGATGACTTGTTCAACCTTGGCCCACACGAAGGAAGGAGAGGACCGACTCCCACAAGAGGTCAGTCCTCTTTCCTCGGCACCCATGTGGCGACGTGCGTAGGTCGTCTTCTAAGGGAAGTCAGCACGCAGGAGTCTAGATCCCTTTGGGTGGCAACTTGCCCAGGCCCAGCAAGCTACCGCATGCTGTGATCTCCCATCAGGGCATGGTGCCATGCTGATGACGATGTTCCTGGAGGAGCTTTGGTCCTCGTTACCAAGGTCATGCTGCAAACCTGCAAGGGCCCTTGAGTCCTCCTCGTCGGTCAACCATGGCTCATTTCCAAGCACCAAACCCTGGGAAAGCCACGCCACCGCTCAGCCTCAATGTCCCCGTGTGTACAGCCAAGGCAAAGAGAGCTCACCACGCACAAGGGTGTAAGGAGAGACACGTGGCTCCCAGTGGCAGATTGCCAAAAGACGCCGGAGCTGCTAATGACACGGGGGACATGGGGACCTCCTTCACGTTGTAATGCCACGGGGACTGCATGAGCCCCTGGCCCTTCTCCGAGAACAGTGGTAACATATTTCTACCCACCTAGCCCAAGGCCATGTAGCAACCAGTCCTTAAAGATGTGTTCCAGAGAGGAGCTACAGACCACTGGGGGGGGGGGATTCAAACAAGCTAAAGGACCAGAGTATAGCTAAGCCCGGCACCACCTAAATTCTATTTCCTAGAAAGAGTTAGGTCTCTTTTTTTAAAAGTCATTTAGGGGCTGAGGAAAGGGCTCAGTGTAAAAAATAAATAAATCACTTACTATGCAAGGCTGAGGAACTGAGTTCAAATTCCCACAAGCACACACAAACTGGACATGCAGCATGAGTGTCTGTAACACCAGCAGTTCTACGGAGAGACGGAGGTAGAAACAGGAACTCTAGAAGTTCCTGGTCCATCTAGCAGAGTACTTCCACATACGGGAAAACAACGGAGGAGCCTAGTCTCAAACAAAGTAGGTGAATCCCAACACTGGAGATTGTCCCCCTGCTTGTACGTCCATACCATGGTACACACGGCCTGCATTCACATACACAACATACACAGACATAGTAAACATATCACATCCAGATCATAGACGCACATCACACATGTGCACAAGTGTGTGTACCCTTGGAGGTTCTCAGTCCCTCTGAGTCCTTCAGCTTTCAAGTGACTTACGGGTGGATATTCATCCTGTACCACTAGATGGCAGCAGAGGATGCATTACAGAGGATGCACTGCGAAGCCAAGCTTCTGGCCAGCCACCTGCGAAACCCTGGAGAGCAAACCCTGGAGAGCCCTCGTGAAACCAAGCACTTGAAAACCCAGTTTCTGGAGAGCTGGACTAGTGCTCGTGGTGGCTTTGGGGTTTTTGAGAATCCCTCCCATGCAGCCCAGCCTGGCCTAGCCCCTCCATCCTGTGAGGAATGTGCAGAGAGGTTAAATACACGTGCTCCTGTAAGACTCTCCTGCTAAATCGGAGTGGCAGCAGGCTTGGCATGGGCCTTCAGTGAGATTTTGTGAATCTGTAACAGCGGTGTGGGTCAAGCTGAAGTTTAACATGACAGTTGTTCTGTGCTAGGAATGTGTCTGAGCCTCTTAGAACACACACACACACACACACACACACTGAACTCTGAAGCCACCACACAAAGCCCGCCGGGGAGGAATGCTGAGGAAGAGGGCGTGTCTAAACTGTCCTCACAAACCAGAGCCTAAGGAGATCATCCGTCCCGTGTGAAAAACGGAAGAGTGAAAAGACCACTTCCGAGTCAAGAGTTCCAGATGAGAGCAAGGCTAAAGAGAGCACAAGCCAATCATAAAATCAC